AAATGTATTTACAAAAATATGTATAAGTGCATCGAACTAAATCTGTATTTAAATTATATTTAATAAGCACACTGTGAAGTGGCAGCTGGTTTTTGTATCTACATACCTTTAGTTGCTTGCAAGGAACATCCAAATGTTCAGTATGTATCTAAATGATACTTACACCACCCTCAGCTGACTTCAGGTTAGCTAGACAGCTGTACTTCAGAGGTCAGTGTCTCATTTACTCTAAAATGTCATTACAAACTCATATTGTAGAGTCCTTGGGTGGCATGGGATCCCTCCAGAGACTCCTACAAATCAGAAGGAGGGAGATGGGGAAGCTTTTTTAGGTTCCAAGTCTCTGTTCTCTTTTTCTTCTCCTCACCTCTTCTCCCTCCTCCAGTAAAAAAAAGAGGGAATCAGGACTTCCTCAAGTGACACAAACAGTCCTGTCTTTGTTGATTTACACCATCTGAAGAACTATCTTCAAGAGTTATTATAAAGCTTTCAAAAACAAAAACAAACAAAAAAAAAGTAAAAGGAAGAGATTTGTGTAAATATGACTAGACACAGGAAGGTGGTTCCCTAATAAATAGACAAGCTTTCACAGCCTCAGCTTCATGCAAAATGCTTCACAACTTTTCACAGGCTGCAAGCAATGTACATGGGCCACAGTGACAACATCCACTTGTCTGGAGAAGTTACATTGAGGGACAGATCTATTATCTGAGGGACAGTTTATTATTTGGAGTCTGATTACTGTCCTCCCTTCTCAGTCTGTGCTGTCAATGGTCTAGATAAGGAGTATATTTAATCCATACCCATACCTTTGACTTTACTGTTTAAAGCCAAAGAGAGCTGGAGGAAAAAAAGAGGTTTTGTAGATGCAAAACATTGTGTTTATACATTTAAGTGCAAAAGGGACAGATCAACGCATTCATTCAAGCTCATTGTGTAGCACACATCCTTGTGGAAGAAAGAGGCAAAACAAAAACTAACAAAACACTCTGAAAATGTCTTCCTTGGATATTATCAATGGACAAAGAGCAGTAGACCCTCAGTTATGAACTTTTGACATTCATTCATTCTTTCATTCTTTCATAATATAACCTGTGAATCATGAAAACAAAGTTGATTCTCACCCAAAGCTAAATCCAATTAAGTTTACCTTTTGGTATCTCTGTACAACTTTAATCATCAATCTTTAATTTCAGAATAGAAAAATGTGTGTTTTTTTCCTTGAATTGACAAACTCATGTAGCTCTGTTCAGTTTCAACCCTGACATCCTGTTCTAAAATATGGGAAAGGGATGGTAGCGAAGAAAAAGATGAGATCCCTGTGGAAAATAGATGCTAAAAGAGAAAGCAATCAGCATGTGAGTGTATGTGAGGCTGGAAACTTGGAAATGGCAAGGCTGGAATCCTTGATCTGGTGGCATAGAAAGAAAAGCTTAAAAATAAGGCTAAATATATGACATAAAATTAAAAAGAGAGGTTCCCAAAACCTCTCAAAACAGTTAGGAAAATTTGGTTGCTCCACCGTATGGGCACAAAAGGCTTCCTTTCAAATGACTCCCAGAAAAGGTGGGACAACCATTCTAAAGCCACCTTTGATTGATTGTCAAAGTCCACTTTCTACTTGGTGACACAATTTTTTTATTAAAAATAGTAACTAGCATACAATCTTTGGGTATGTTTTACCCAGGTAGCTAGGCCAGTCCTTTGCTTGGAAGCTGAGAGGTAATGCTACACCTGAAATATTTAGAAACATGTTCAATCTAGACTAGATAGAAGTTCTCAGTGGAAAAATAGGTTTGAGCATGCAATTCACTTCTGTGAGAAATTAAGAAGGAGGAAGGAAAAAAACTACTAAAACAGTATTGTCAACTATATAGACGTATAATATATAAAAATCTCTTAAAATTCGCATGCTTTGGATCATGTTTACATAAAGACATGACCTTGTAATAGCAGGTATTCAGGGTATATTAACCAATTGACAAAGATACAGTGGAACACAATGCAAAACACTGCATTCATAAGATGACTGAAAGCTGCATGTCACACCTCTTGATAAAATCCTGAACAGCTCCTGGTGATGCAATTAATTTGTCTTGCAAGGAGGGAGATGCCTGGATATTTAAAAATATTGGTGAAGATTTGTTCATGGTATGAGTGTTTGCAGGTTGCATAACTATTGAGGAAAACAGATTAGACAGTGTGAGATCATAAATAATGCATTCATGAGGAATGTGGGTGTGATTCTTGTAAAAGGAGAACCAGAAGAATCTGTTACAAAGTTGACATTCCTCTGAATAAGGCTGTCTAGCTATTGCTGCAACAGCCAATATTCCCAGCGTATCAACTATTGAGGTTTACTATTTTTCATTTTTAGTTAGAACAAAAAAAAAAACCTTCAATATATATCAAATCCATATGGCATTTGGAACACAGTGAATGCAGTTTTGTAAAACCATTAAGTGATTTACTGATATGTAATTTTAAATCTATCCTTTCAAGGCACTGAATTCGTGAGCAGAGTTTGGAAATATAAAGACAACATAAAACTTAGTTCTGCTAAACCAAGACCATAGCACATCATCATGCAAAGCAACACGGACCTAGAATTTGAAAAACCACACTCAAAAAAAGTAAGAATATTCCTTGTTGGACTGTAAATGCATACAGATACATATCCAGATGGAGTGACCAGAACAATTTTCTTTGTTAGTAATGGCTAATAGCAACTGCTGACGTTTTGCTGGAATATTTTCCCAACTGCTAGTTTATATAAAACAAAAGTAAGACACTCTTAAATGCAAACAGACTGTAACTTGGTTTAGAATAAATATCAACATGGCCAGCAAAACTGAGCCATCCATTGAGCATGCTGAGCAGGTAGGCATATGATAAGAAAGTCAATGAGAACCATTTACACATCAGCAGAAGATGGTTGTATAAATAGAGCTGCAGAGTGGAAATGAACTCTGAGCAAACCAGGGAAAGGTTTTGTTCAGAAAAAGGCAGCTGCAGCATAAAACTTTGTCACAGGCTTTCCAGGGAAGTGGTCACAGCTCCAAACCTGCCAGAGTTCAAGTGTTTGGACAATGCTCTCAGGCACATGGTGTGACTCTTGGGGTATCCTGTGCAGGGCCAGAAGCTAGACCTGGGTGTTCTTTGTGGGTCCCTTCCAACTCAGGATATTATGTGATTCTATAATGCAGTATTAGAAATGTCAGATTATATCAGCAAGATGCGGGAAGGCAAGAAAAATGTTTTCAGGTCTGAGGAATAATCTGTTTTCTGCTGTTGTGTAGCCAACTGCAGGAAATACACAATTGATCTGGAAGGAATAGTTCTGGTGCTGGAAGGTACGGATGAGTTTACTATTGTATTCACAAAGTATTGTATTCATTGTCATATAAATTCCACAGTAGTATACAAAATGCTAATAGAAGCACTCTCAACTGCAACAGGTAATACTTTTTCTCAAGCAAAATGAAATAAACTATTTTATAATCAGGAATGTAGCTGATGTTTCAAAATGGTGCTAACTGGGTGGAAAATAAATAAGGAAGACATTCTTAGCCACATATTACGAAACTTTCATGTTTGGCAGAACCTTCTCTTGGCCAAGAATTTGGAAGAAGCATTTTTTTTATCATCATCAATGATTTTAAAAATATATGTATAATATCTAATTATGTATAAATATATTTGTCATCCTAAGGGATTCAGAGAAATTCAGGCCTGTCCTGGGGTGACGTTATGATGCTTGTATATCCCCATTCATCTGTTCTGTGCCTTTAAGACCGGCACTGAAGAGTGGAAGTTTTGTTTGGGTTTCTCTTATCAGGACACAGAGACAAGCAGTAGACAGAGCTGTTTTTTTTTTTTTACTTCCAGCTTTGGGCTTGCTGCTTTTGCTTGCTGCTTTTGCTTGCTCTCTTTTTCTGCTCTTGCTTCTGCTCTGCTTTCTGCCTCTGCTTATTAGCTAGTTCTAGCTAAACAGTCCACATTGCTTCCTGGACTGTTTCTCCTCTCCTATTCCTGTGACCATCTCGAACCTGCTCCGGACTGGGACCCGGGAACACCAAGGGTTCGGCTGCAGCGGCTGGCCCAGCGCCGGAGGGACTGAGAACAGAGCAACCACCCCCGAAAGAGACTTTCTGATTTTGCCATCTTTCTCAGAGCGGTGTCATCAGGTATTGTTCATTTTGTGTGCTGGGGGGTGCGGGGCCAGTCAAATAAACAGGTTCTTTCCACCTCTCTCCGAGGAATTTTTTCCCGAACCGGTTGGGGGGAGGGGCCGTGTGGATTTCGCTTTCTGGAGGGGCCCTCCTTTGCAGATTCTTTAACAAATTTGCCCTAAACCAGTACAAGGCCCTAATAAAACAAAATGCTTTAGTGCTTCAGGGCCTTTGAGAGCTCATAATAAATTATCTCTGCAGGTCAGGCTTGAAGTGCACTAGCAGCAAAGTGTGAAAATGCTGGCACTGTTTCAGAGATCAGTGGCTTCTAGCTGCCAGAACAGACACCTTTAAAAATAAAGAGATTAATTAAAACTTCTCAAGAAAATTGCAAGAAAATTCTTTATTCTGCTACTTAAATACACAGGTTACTGTACATCTATCTTTCCTGAGCTACTGGAATAGCTGATGGGTATCAAATTAAAGTTATAGAGTGCAGATAAAATTTCAGTCAAAGAAAAAGAGAAGTTGTAAAAGGAAAGCTAGAACAAAAGATCTTCAGTGGCACTGAAAAATCAGTAGCATTAATCACTCTAGAAAAGCAACTTGGAAAATGCCCCAAACAGTCATTGTCACGAGGAAGTATTAATGGCACCAGCACCTCTCTGAATCAGTAATTGACAGTTATGTCTACAGCCAATTATTTACTGGTTCCTGGTAGTTCTTCTGGAGCTAATTTTACTGAGTAGAAAGAATCAACTTGTGGTTAAAAGGAACTGTAAAAACACTGGCAATTTGTCGTTCCAAACTGTTTTTCTTTGGCCTTTTCAGCAGCAGCCTGCAGCAAACACAAAGCTGTCTGGTCGTTGTTGCCTGTCATTCATTGCACTGCTTTGTTTGTCTCAGAGCAGAAGAGGTAAGGTAAAGGCATGTTCTAAACAAGTGTGTTATACTAGTCAAGATTGTAAATAGAGACAGGGTATGAAAGTATCTCCCACTGAACCACATAAATAGCTTTGTCGAAACACAAGTTTTCCCTAAGGAGAAAAATGTTTTCAGCTGCACTAAAGGTCTTTAAAAAACAATTTTTCACTGATTTACACTATGTATTCTTAAAACAAAACAAGAATGCAGTCACATAAAGGAGGAGCTGCATGGATGAATTGTTTCTCTCATTTAGTCAAGCTTTCATGTTGAACTGAGCTTGTTTTGAGCTGCTTTTAACATATTCTGCCACAGTTAACAGCTTCAAATATTTATTTTAAAAGGCAGAAAATTATTGCTAATTTTATGTTGTCAAACAGCGAGCCCATGCTTCATTTGGGAGCTAGCAGAGAGAGACAAGCATAAGAAACATCCTGCTATCTAGTGGCCTGGTAATTGTATTCCAATCAATTTAACAAATTGAGTGTAAAAGAAAAATGCTTCACAAGGGAAATACTTCAACTCTAGTCTTGAATCTCTGTCAGTGTCCCCTCACTCATCCTTATATCACACCTACTTCAGCCAGGAACTGAACCCCATATGCTGCCAAATATGGAGAATTTTTTAACACTCTTCCCATCCTAAATCCCCCAGTTTCCACTTGCCTACTCTCATCCTCCCTCCTTACAAAGTGGCTGCCATTATTCCATTATTTCTATTTTCTGTGCCATTTCTAATTCTTCCTCCAATCTGTCCTCCCCAAGGCCCCCAAAGCCCAGCCATGCCCAACACAGGAGTTCTTTTTATCCAGTGTTGCAGGCACTGCTAATCCCAGCTGCCCTCTCCTATTTAAAAGAGAGCTACAGTATCTCATGCCTGACTGTGGAGAGTATCCAATCCATCCCAGAGGCAGGTAGCAGGTGAACCTAAATAGCTGAAGCACAAAAAACAGAAGGCAGAGTAGCTCAGGTGAGCCAGGCCAAGTGGATTACAAGAAACAGGTACTCCAACCATCCCTTCAACTGTTTATGCCTAAAGCTAGAAGCAGCAACTAATCACAGAATACTGCCACTCTCTTAGAAACAAAGGGATTTTTTTCTTCATATTTGGGAATGGAAATCTAAGACATTTCAGGGTTTGGAAGCACAGCATACAGGTTATTTTAGACATATTGATTTGGACTTCCATGCATGTAGCTACCTGGGGTAATGTTAATGAAGAAATTGCTTGATACATGCTACCTGCCACATATTTTATGAGGTAATTAGTGATCCAGGCCCAGCATTATCAAAACTAGTATAACACCAGTTTAGATACAGAGCTAGGGAGTGCAGATGGATATGAGCCACAATGTGGGATGAAAATCAAACGTTTCCTTGCATTGCTGTTCTCAGGATAGATCAGGTTGGAAGGAACCACAGTGTCCTGGGGTTTCTCATCTGGTCCAGCTTCCCTGCTCAAGCAGGGTCATCCCAGAGCACATTGCTCAGAATTGCATCCAAGTGGTTCTTGAATATCTCCACTAAGGGAGACTCCACAATTTCTTTGTGCAACCTGTCCCTGCGCACGGTCACCTGCACAATGAAGTTTTTCCTCGTGTTCAGGTGGAACTTCCTGCATGTTGCTTTGTGCCGATTGCCTCTTGTCCTATTCTTTGGCACCAACAAGAAGAGCCTGGCTGTTTGCTATATCCCTATCATTGTTTTGCTACAGTCCCACTAAGTATAGACAAATTTATTTCTGCCGATATGTAATTATTTCTGAACATATAGCTGTAGTTTTATTGCTAAATTCTATAACTTTAATCTAATGTTCATGGCCACATTTTCTTACAGCAGTAGTAAAGATTCAGTGACTATTCCTCACTTGACTTTCATTAAATCTGCACACCAAATTATATGGACTAGTAAAGGGATTGAACTTTAGTACATCAGCAAAACCTGCTTTCAATTCTTTTAACTGTCCAGAGTTCATTTCCCTGAACAGAAGGGCTTAGTCAAATACTAAAGTCAGGTTCTGCAGAAGGAACCTGTTTGCCTTCAGCTTTCATTGAATTGTCACAACTCTACTTGCAGCACATTTTGGAAGAACATATTTTAAGACATATTGCTGTATAACAACTAAATCTCAGAGGTGATAAATCACATATCTAGTCGGAAAAGGCAGGAAAAAGAGGAAGGAGAAGGGTCTCTAAAAACTTTTATGGCCAGCTGAGGGAAAAGCATACAGAATCTTTGAAGGACTATACTTCTAACAGTTAATAAGAGCCCTCAGTTACAGAGCAATATTTGTCAGGATAGACCCCAAAATGTTTTGGAGCGTCCAACTACTATGTGCACAACATCACTGAAATGCACTAAGCTATCCTCTGAGGGAAAAAGGCAGCTGGTATTGTGGAACAAAGGGTTCTGTGATACTGGACATGTGTGAAAATTTAGTTCTTATAAAGTGAGATACTAATTGACAACAACAAAGATCTTGCTTGGGTTTGTAAAGGAAAGCGGCATCTTGACAAACAATTGTCCTGCATCACACTGAATATCAAAGGAAGAGAGATTTCCTGACATAAGCATAAAGAAAATAATCTGTCAAGAGGAAGACAGCTTCTTCTTGAATGGCTTATGGAAACATCATCTCCCAGTGTTCCCTGATTTCAGCTTACTACTTCAGGATATGCCAATGGTCTCGTTTTGCCTGGCTCTTTCTTGTGCTTACATGCAGTGCAATCCTCAATTTTAGACCACAGTCCCTTCTGTCCAGGTTTTGTCACAAGCTGTGGTTGAGAACTGGAGGAAGATGTTACTGTCATGAAAAAATAAATTAACACAGAATCGTAAAATATTATCATGTCATAGAAGGACAATGTGTTGCTTGGTATCCATGGCAACTGCAGAAACCAATGCTCTTTAACAGCCTTGCCTGAAATCATATAAACTGCTTAGATAAAACATGAATTGTGGCAGATGGATATGTGAAAATAAAAATAACTTCGTATCCAATCTATTGCCCACATGGGACACCCTTGAAATAGTGTGAGTTATATAATCCTATCAGGAGTCATTTTGTTAGAGACCAAGATAGAGGTAGCATCTTTTCCATGCATCTAAACAGAATTAAGAATGGGTTCAGCAGAAATTGTGTAATAACAAAACCTAGGAAGCAAATGCTCTCTAGCATCTCTGAAAAGTAGATCTAACCCTGAGCTCCACAGAAGACAAGCTGTGAGTCTCTAGTGCCAGCTAAGGGATGAGTTTTCGGCTGTGACCCAATTTCACAGTTAGAGCACCTGCTTCATGGCATAGGCTAGAGACACAGACTGGCTTTCTGTAAGCAAGAATCAAGAGGGAACCGTGACCGAGGTGAAAACAGAGCCAGGGATGCATTAGGCCAAAGTGGCCACCCCCAAGCCCCTTCAATACTGCGCCATGGATCCATAGTTGAATATAGTTTCACCAGTTGTTTTTTTTTCAGAAAAGAAAATTTACCCCCAGCTCAGTATGAGCCATCACTGAATGAACTGGATACCAGTTAGTGTCAGAGAAAATTAGAACCTTAGTCTGTGAGCACCAGATTGCAGCCTACTGCTCTGGTTTTAATAACATTTCTCTTAAATGAGCTAAGTTTTGCTTTATATTTGGGTCTTGTCCAACAGCTCTGGAAAATGCAGGTATCCATCACCACAGGGAATGAGGTTGAGGAACATTAGGTGGAAGAATTAGGAGTTGCTCCAGAATCTGAATCTACAGTTCTGGTAAGAAGACCTCATATTTATTCAGAGGTTGTGTGGTCGGAGCAGCCAGGGCTCCCTCCCAGGCTAGGGGCATGGTCTGCTCAGGTCATGAAAAAGCATCCCCAGCACTGTAGATCTTTCCAAGACAAGAACCATCTCAGTGATCTTAATTTTTTCTCTTTCTTGGAAATTAAACTAAATCTATCAAATCTATTTTGCAGAACCTGATAAGTCATGAAATAGAGATTACTGCTCATCTTTGTGAATCTGAACATATGAAGTAAAATACCCAAACTTCAGTAAATTTAAAGCTTTACCATAAAGGCTCTGGATTAACATTGACATCTCCAAGACCGGTGTCATCTGCCAGTGTTGGAGCTGAGAGGCATCATTCACGAATTGTAAAAATACCCCTTTTCTCAGGAACACTCATTGCTTTCTTTTTTATCCCTAGTAGTGTTATCGGATTGGGATATGTAAGGTTTGTCTTCACCTTAAGCTTATCACATAACTAACAAAACCAAAGAAAACAAACACCTAAAATGTGGGCTTTGCAAATAGGACCTCTTCCACTGGAAATGCCATGCCTACTTCTCATTTCCCTTCTTCTGGAAATCTCCTTGTCCCTTTCAAAAGAAGCAAGTCACGTGAACTCCAGGAAGAGTTAAGTCACAATGGGGTCCAGCCCAGAAATGAGGTCAAATGCAATTGTTATGTTAGTGAAAGAGTGACTTCAGAAATAGGCTATGTAAACACTGGAGGCAACTTTATGTTTCATTGTGGAAGTGCACTAGCTCACAAAGCCGTGCCATCAATTAATCACAACTGGAGAATGGCAGTTTATACTACCCCATACCTTGCTGAAGTCACAAATGAACTCAGCAAGTACATGAAGAGGCCCCAAGGTATTTTAAATTAAAATATCTTTCCCCTCATTTTGCTGGTTCTAGCCTGTTGTCTTCTGAGTAAACACTTTTTCCCGGCAGTTTATTTAATGGGACTCAATTGTATTTTGTTTTATTTTCAAGATGGATTCCAAAATTTAATACTCTTTCTTGCAAATGCTAAAAACCACACTGTTTTTCAGAACTATTTTACTTACTTGAAAGTAACTGCTTTGTCAAAGGGACATATGAATTATTGCACTCCTGGAAAATAGCTCTTTGGAGACTTACACTTTTCATTCCTGTTCTTCTATCGAGTCTCTTTGGCTCCATCTTGTGATACGCTCGTATTAGAGTCTATACATTGTAATTGCCACC